CGCATCATCGGGAGGATGTGTGTGGGTGAGTAACGAACACACACACACACTCACTCACTCACTCACTCACTCACTCACTCACTCACTCACTCACTCACTCACTCAAACACAGGCACACACTCTCACTCTCTCTCTCAAACACACACACACACACTCTCTCTCTCTCTCTCTCAAACACAGGCACACACACACACACTCTCACTCTCTCTCAAACACAGGCACACACATACTCTCTCTCTCAAACACAGGCACACACACACTCTCTCTCTCTCTCTCTCTCAAACACAGGCACACACACACTCTCTCTCAAACACAGACACACACACACACTCTCACACACACAGGCACACACATACTCTCTCTCTCAAACACAGGCACACACTCTCTCTCTCTCTCTCTCTCTCTCAAACACAGGCACACACTCTCTCTCTCTCTCTCTCTCAAACACAGGCACACACACACTCTCTCTCAAACACAGGCACACACACACACACACACACTCTCTCTCTCACTCACTCACTCACTCACACTCTCTCTCTCTCTCAAACACAGGCACACACACTCTCACACACTCACACCCCTTTTATCTGAACACACTGATTACAAAGGGAAACCGATCTCTACAGAACATTTAAGGTCCTGTGAATTTAACATTTATATTTATGAGGTTGATTAAATGAACATTTTGATGTGTTTTTATAAACTATTGACCATTTTTGACATGATGCTTTTTACCAAGAATGTGAGCAGAAGGCCTTCACATGTTGAAGACATTAAACAAAAAGCATTAGCCAAAGTTATTTTAAGATGCAGTAGGACTCTGAAGCGCTGCAAATCAGAAGAGCAGTGGCGTTGTAAAGAGTAGATGTGTCCATGGAGGTCTGAGGTCACAGGCTCCTCCCCCAACAGGTAACACAGTGACGAGTAAACAAACTGAAATAATACAAACAAAAGGCAGAGTTGGAGAGGAGCCAAAAACATGGCAGCCATCATCACCCGCAGCGTTTCTGACAATTCTGACTGTTTCTAAACATTCTGACTTATTCACAAAATTCTCAAAAATCTGAATTTTTCTCAAAAATCTAAACATTCTGACTTTTTCTAAAAATTCTGACTTTTTCTAAAAAAATCTGACTTTTTTCTCAAAAATCTGACTTTTTCTCAAACATTTAAAAATTCGGACTTTTTCTCAAACATTTAAAAATTCGGANCTTATTCACCAAATTCTCAAAATCTGAATTTCTCAAAAATCTAAAAATGTTGACTTTTTTTACAAAATCTAAGCATTCTGACTTTTTGCTCAAAATTCTGACTTTTTCTCAAACATTTAAAAATTCGGACTTTTTCTCAAACATTTAAAAATTCGGACTTTTTCTCAAACATTTAAAAATTCGGACTTTTTCTCAAACATTTAAAAATTCTGACTTTTTCTCAAACATTTAAAAAGTCATCACATACAGAGCATCAACTAGTTCCTGAACAGTGTCCTTCACATGCTGATATCCAAGAGAGGGAACTGTGCTGATGGTTTTGTGTCCGTGGTGCGTTCAGGGAACCGTCACGGCCTGATTGTGCCCAGCAGCGCGACGGACCAGGAGCTGCAGCACATCAGGAACAGTCTGCCGGACGCCGTGCGCGTGCAGCGGGTCGAGGAGAGGCTGTCGGCGCTGGGGAACGTCATCGCCTGCAACGACTACGTGGCTCTGGTCCATCCTGACCTCGACCGGGTGAGACTCAACATTACACCGCCGTGTTCTTCATCAGTTACATATGAACACATCTCATCGGTTTGCTGCCGAGCGAAGTCTTGATGCAGCTAAATGTTCCAGAGACACGTTTCACATACACGGGGACATGTACGCCTACTTTCAATTTCATATTATTGCTTTCAACTAACCTTTTCTCAGTGTGAGATTGGGTTCCTGAAAGCTGCACGGTATCGCAAAACGAGGGAGGGAGAAAATGCGTAGCCTGACCGAAATACCATACTTTGTTTTGTCATATATTTGGCAGCAGTGTTTTTTCAAGACATGGTAATTGTACATCTTAAGTTTGTCCGTCCAAAATGCCTAAAATAAAAAAGTACGAACATTAGGGAGTGATCCGGACTTCACAGTAAAATAAAATGTGGCCTCTGAGGTTTTACGAAATCAGTCCACTTTCTCCATCGTGACACAAATAGTTCCAGTTTGTGATTAAGAATACCATGCTCAATAGGGCTGCTCAATTAATCGTATTTTAATCGCAATTACGATTATGGCTTTCAACGATTACGCAAACAACGTAATTTTTTATTATTACTATAAAACATTTTTTGTCAATTTTAATTTTTTAAAATTTAATTCTGCATAAAGTTCAGGGTAATCAACCGTTAAAAACATACTGTTAAAATATTTGTTCTCCAATAAATTGATGTGTTCAAAGTAAATGGATAATCGTTTTTTAATAATCTTGATATCAATTATTGACCCAAATAATCAAGATCATGATTTTTGCCATAATCGAGCAGC